TAAAACATGTGAAACTGGCAGCTCCCACTACCGTGCTATGACCAAGCAGGGTAAAGGAATAGCATTACTACTTGTTGTTAGGGAGACTCCTATATATGTCGACCTCCATCCCCAACGGACAGGCAGACCTGCAAAAATGCTCAACCCTTCATCATATCTGAGAGGGCACTCCCAACGAAGCCTTTCGAAATATTCAGCTTTCTTTCCCCCCGATAATACCTCTGCAAACAAGCTATACTAGAGCAAGAATATCTCATATCATCAGGGTTAAAAGCAAGAGTATCTCATATCATGCTTTTTCCCTGTCTTTTCCTTTGGCCTTGTTTTTACCTGCAAGACAAGGAGAAAGAGAGCAATCAGTCAGCACTTGGAATCAAGCTTCCAGCCAGGAACTGACTGCCTGGAACCCCTTACCTGATTACTTACCTGGCATTGCTCTCGAGTACTCATCTTCAACATCTTATGTTTCCAGGGAAGATTCCGCATCTGCTTGAGGAACAGATAGGGCAAGTGCGAAGGATACAAGGAAGCATGTGGAGACAAGCGTAACAGCACACATGCCGATACATCCATTACTCTGTCAAAAGCAAAAGTATTCCATATCAGTAGGGTGGAACGTACTCTAGATTTGATGGACTTGTTTTGACCCTCAAATTCTTCAGTCGGCCTTATACTCTGGAGGAAACCAGAAAACCCTCCAGCTCAGTTCAAGAATAAGCCTGTGGAAAGTTACTTCTTCAAAAGCAAAAGTATCTCATATCATCTCTTCTAATTTTTCTTCTCTTTATCCTTCATGCTGCTGCAAGATGGGGAGAAGGTGAACAATCAGTCGGAGCTCTGATTGCTTACCTTGTATGTCACCTCTTTCAGCAGACCCCCTAGCTCGGCGACTTGGGGAACTCCTACTACATGGTTTGTATCGCGCTTGACCAAGCCTGAAACTACAAGTAAGCTTCAAGTGAAATTGATACATTACCTTGTGCATCTCCATCAGTTAAAGATACCACCCCTGGATGGAGGAAGAGTACTTCCAGAGAAGATGCCACATCTACCTATGAGACAGATAAGGCAAGTCAAGACGACACCACACTCTGATACTTAGAAGTTTCGTGATTACGAGATCATTCTCCCACAATATTTCCTAATGTCATTTGTACTAAATCATTCACTTGTACTCACTAAATGAGAGCTTGAACCTATGTATTTGTGTAAACCCTTCACAATTAATGAGAACTCTTCTATTCCGTGGACGTAACCAATCTGGGTGAACCATGTACATCTTGTGTTTGCTTTCCTATCTCTATCCATTTATATACTTATCCACACTAATGACCGGAGCAATCTAGCGAAGATCACAAAAAGCGACCGTTTTCGCTACCTAGGATCTATCTTGCAAGAGAACGGAGAATTAGATGGAGATCTCAACCATAGAATACGAGCTGGATGGATGAAGTGTAAGAGTGCATCCGGCGTGTTGTGTGACCGTCGTAGGCCACTGAAGCTCAAGGGAAAATTTTATAGGACGGCAATAAGGCCAGCGATGTTGTATGGCACAGAATGTTGGGCGGTGAAGTATCAACACGTACACAAAATGGGTGTAGCGGAGATGAGGATGCTTCGTGGGATGTGTGGGCACACGAGAAAGGATAAGATTGGGAATGAGGATATCCGAGGTAAAGTAGGAGTAGCCGAAATTGTAGGAAAGATGAGAGAAAATCGGCTCCGGTGATTTGGACATGTGCAAAGAAGGCCGACTGACGCTCCGGTTCGAAGATGTGACTACATGACAGAGATTCAGGGCCGAATGGGTAGAGGAAGACCTAGGAAAACTTTGGAAGAGACTCTAAGAAAAGACTTAGAGTACTTGGATCTAACAGAGGACATGACACAAAACCGAGCGCAATGGCGTTCTAGGATTCATATAGCTGACCCCACTTAGTGGGAAAAGGCTTTGTTATTGTTGTTGTTGATTGTCAAATGCTGTAGCAACTGTAAGTTTGTCAAAATTTATAATCATGGTTATTGATTGCTGGAATTTTGATCGTAGTGGTCCAGATTTACTTGCTCATGATCTTTTTATTGCTTTATTGTGAAAAATGGATAATTTACTGCAAAATTTGCTTAATTGAATGGAGATTTGCTAGGTTTTTAATACAATTAGGTTAATTGGATAATGGATATTGGAGATTTTCTCTAAAGGATTATAATTGATATAGAATTTAGGGGAAACTTGATATAACTCCAATTTTTTGAGCCAATAGTAGGAATAGTTCAGTTTATTAGAATAGGTCCAATTCTTTAAATTTAATTATTTTATTATCAATAATTATCTCTTAAATGAAAAAATTTATTGTAAAAATCAAATTTCTTCCTAATTATCTCTTTGATTATTTCTTTTTATTTATTTATTTGTTATTTCATGTTCTTTCTCGTGCTTTAACCCATTTATAGATTTTATTTTAATTTTTATAGTCAACCTATATCACAGGTTAATTGTATTTATCTACCTATATGACAGATTCTTTTTCATAGTCAACCTGTCACAGATTAATGTGTCTTGCTTGTAGGTATATTATGTTTTTTTCTACCTTTTAGTTAGGTTTCATATCTCACTTATAGGTATAATATACAATCATATATTTGCTACTTGAGTTAGGGTAGAATGTTTTGTAGATAGATTTATGTTAGTATATCAATTTTTTTTGTTATAAGATATTAATTAGATATTTTGAAGTTGAAAAATGCATAATATTAAAAGATTTTAATTGATTTTTAATATTTTTAGAAAATATAAAATGAGTATAAAAGAAATAAAAACATATAATTTATTAACTGGACTCACTCCTAAAAACTCTCTATGTTTTTGGACCTGGATCTAAAAGCCCCTAGAATTTATAAGTTTTATCTCTTTCAGGTTACTTTTATGTTTCGAATTAGTTGGATTTAGCGTTCTTCACAAGTTTTGATAATTGTTTAGTTTTTAAGTTTTGTTCCTTGCATGGTTGATTTTCTTTGATAATTGTTGAATCGCTTCTATATTTGCTTGGTATTTAGGATCTAAAGCATTTTGCCTTTTGAAAAGCAGCTGCAGGGAAAGTAAGAGGTGCCCTTTTCTTCTGTGTTTTTTTTTTTTTAATTTCTAATTTTGATGCAAAACATGAAATATTGTGGGAATCAAATGTATGATTGTCACCAAATATATATATATATATCTTTTGTGGAATATTATTGGTGATAATGGTAAGTCTATGCATAGGTGGTTATCCTTATTCTGTTTGAATTTCTCTCAAATTTTCTTTACTCTTCCTTATCTGCTATATTGTATGTGAAAATCTGAAATGATAGCATTTGTTAATCTATGTTTTGGGTTGTGATTTCCATATTTTACTTCCAAGTTCTGAGTCATTTATCTGACCTGAAAAGGCATTGTCAGTGAGAAGGCTTTTTTTTTTCGTTTCACTTTATATACTGTGCTCACTATCTGTTTAATATGTTTCATCGTATAAATTAAAGTCTCATTTCTCAGGTGCTTTCAAGTGACAACCCCAACTATGGATGCATGTTGCCACTGGAAACTATGAAAATTTAATAGTCGCTGGGATCACTGATCCAACTAAAGTGGGTTTCTTTATCAAGTACTTCATGAATAGAATATTTCGGAGATCCAATCCCTGGGACAGATTGAAGGTGAAGATCACAGGGGTGTGATACTGGGGAGGGTGGTAGGGGTATGGGGAGTGGGCTCTGGTTGGTTTCGATTTGACCGAGGCCATGGTTCGATGGAATCGAGGTGATGGGGACTATTCATGAGGTCACAGCCAGAAGATATGGGGCCTACGCATGGGGTTTAGGGGTTTCACGGGGAGGGTTACAGAGGGAGGGGGTGCACGTGTGAATTGCAGAGGGAGAGCTAGAGAGGGAGAAAGAGGGGGAGTAGGGTTGCTATATTCAAGTTCTCTTTTTTATTTTTACTTGAATTTGATTTGATTTGATTTTTTATTTTTTATTTTTTATTTTTTAATGCAACAGGTTGAGAATGCGAAAGCTCTGCCGGAGGTGGAGGTGAGAATTTTAATTTAATTCATGGTATATTGTTGTTGTTTTTTTTTTTTACTTTATTTTTGTGGGATTGTGCTGTTTTTGGGGAAAACAATATTAAATTGAAGTAAAGTTTAGATATTTCTGTAATTGGGATTTAGAGTAAGAGATGAAGAACTGAATGTGATTGCAAAATTAAAAGTTTAGAACTTTTTTGGTTTGGAAGCTAATTTTAAATTCAGTTAGCTAATTAATTAATAGAGAAATGTATAACGAATGCATGATATGTTTTTCGATGCGTATGAGCAGACATGGGTATTGCTTCAGCGGCAGTAGCTGCTATATGATGGTAGATGAGGAATTCTAGGATGCAGAGTGCTCTTAGTGTCAGAGATGAAGACTTGATAATGATCGTATCCAATTCCACCTCAAGATATACTTGATAATGTTGTCCTTTATGTGCAATTCACTGTATGATGTTCGTGCCTTTAATGGGCCTGTCAATATATTTCAGTGCACCCACCAATTGGTTTTATCATCATAAATCATTTGTGTGAAATGGGATGGTGAGTTTCTCAATACAGTTTTAATTTTTGTGCGAATAATGTTTGTAAAAAGTCTGTTTTTATTTAGTTCATTGCATATTCTTATTCTTTTATTTAGTTCACCATTCATGCTTTTAAAGATAAGAATTGCAAGGCTCTCTCAGATGTTAGTTTTGGGTGGCAATTGAAAGATACGAGGATAAACAAAAATACCTACCAATTGAAGAGATAAATTCAATTGAAAATATTTGGTTCATCAATTGTTATAGTTTGAGCTTTCTGCATTAAATGTCTTGTTTTCGGGAAGAGTGATTCATATAATTGGGTTTTATTAAATTTTTCATGATTTTATACAGTTTTTCGTTTAAACTTGTGGATTCTGAAACACTTTTATGAGTGTTAAAATCGTCTAAAATTTGTTTGGAATTTGGTGGTTTCTTCAATTTCATCACCACCCATTCTCACAACTTCATCTAAAGTGTTTTGCATGTACAAGATTCGTGTTCATGGAGGTCATTTCAAACAGATTTCAAGCTGAGCTGCAGAAATTTGATTCAAATTGGTGGATTTGGGTAAGAAACAAAGGGCTTGTTTGGTATCCTATTTGAAAATTTTTATCATTTCTCAAAACATTTTTTAAGAACATTTATTGAAAATAGTTTTTTTGATGACTCAAAAACTTGATTGGTTTCTAATTTAAAAATTTTAAATCTTACGACTTAAACTATAACAAAGCGATCTAAAAAGAGGGGGTTGCAAGAGAGGTAGAAAGAGGAGAGAGAGGAGGAAAGAAAGTAAGAGATGATTTAAGGAAAAAGAAAGGAGAGAGAATCGGAGGAGATAAAGAGGAAGATGAGTGAGAAAAAGAACCTAAAGAATAAAGAGAGCGAATTGGATGAGAGATGAAAAAGATAAAAAAAAAAAGGATAGAGAAAGAAGAAAAGAGAGAGATTTGAAGTGAGAGTGGAGGAGGAAGAGAAAAGAAAGAAGTGAGTTTAAGTTTAAAAACTCTAAAAACTCACTTTTTATGTTTTTAAATAATAAACTATATTTTTTAGTTAGTCTTGAGTTCAGTTTTTGAAAATAGTCCTACCAAACAAGTTTTTAAGGCCTAAAACTTGAAAATTATTTTTGAGTTTAAAAAGTTTGATTCAAGTACATTACCAAACAAGCCCTAAGAAACCATAATCTTTTCTTTTGGTTTTAAGAACTGAATTTGATGGTTAAGTTTATGTTTCAAGATTATCTTCCTTTCTCCTAAATGCTGAGTTTTATGAGATTACATTTGGCAAGTCTGAAAACGAATTAGAAATACTGAGTTTTATGAGATCTATTTGGCAAGATTATCTTCCTTTCTCCTAAATACTGAATTTTATGAGATCTATTATGAGATCTATTTGGCAAGATTATCTTCCTTTCTCCTAAATACTGAGTTTTATGAGATCTATTTGGCAAGTCTGAAGCGGATTGCGTATGTTTATATCTTCCTTTCTCCTAAATACTAAGTTTTATGAGATCACACCATCTTATGTTTATTGTATAATCTTTTGCGGTCAGAAGAATTATCATCTTTTTCCTTTCAGATTTCAACATATTTGGAAATACTTCAAATTTTTTGTAGTGCAGTTTGTAGTTAACGTGATTACGTAAGTTCTGTTTCTTTAGTAAAATTTTATGCAGGAAAGAAAGTCATTTCTCAGTTTGTAGTTAACATGATTACATAAGTTCTGCTTATCTTATCGACCTCGTTCACTCATGTGTTCTTCTGTTCATTCATGCTTGTGTTAAATTTATTCATGTTAAATGTGTCTTATTCATGCAGTTACTCATGAAACAGTTGTTCCTGCCGCAACGCACATGCGTATTTTCTAATTGAGACTATTAGTCAAGACTCAAAAGTTGGATCTTACTTCGTTGACCGGTATGCAACTATGAATTTTTTTAGATGCTAGCAATCTACGAATTTTTCTAGACGCTAGAAAATATTAAAGTCCCAATTAAGACGTTATGCTAGCAAATATATAGATAGAGAGAAAGCAAGTTGTTTACATACGTACAGAATTATCTCAGTTGTCTCGATTAAGACTTTACTAGCAAATATATAGACTGAGAGAAAGCAAGTCAAAATTACCCCAATCGTCCTAATTAAGACTTTACTAGCAAATATATAGGCTGAGAGAAAGCAAGTTGTCTACATCCATAGAAAAGTATGTCAATCCCAATTAAGACGTTGCCATTGAATATATTAACTGAGAGAAATCAAGTCGTTTACCTTCAAGCAAAAGTATCTCGGTCCCAATTAAGATGTTACTGGCAAATTTATGGACCAAGAGAAAGCAAGTTTATATACATACAAAAGTACTTTAGTCGTCCCCAATTAAGACGTTAGTAGCAAATATATGGACCGAGAGAAAGCAAATTGTTTGCATACTACAAAATTATCTCACTCCCAATTAAGACGTAAGAAATTTCGTCAACAAAAGCAAGTCATCGGAATAATTAAGCCAAGGTGGGTGGGGTGGTGGTGCGTTCATACGTGGCAGTATGACTTTCTGTCATCCAAAACATAGGAATTGGATCTCATCCGAATCCACTTTGTGGGGATCGTGTATTTTGTGGGAAAATCCCTTTCCCAAAACATATCATCTTTTGACTTTTCTCGCTGCATCATTCAACTACTTGCAGATATTTTCATCCCAACTTTTGAAAATTCCACCAGAGATTTTTCTTTCTTTTTTTTAGAAAATCCAACCTGTGTTTTTCTTTGAAAAAATCCACTTCCACTTATCTAAAATTCATTTTATCGTTGAATTTATATGTAAAATTATGACTGAAATATTATTCTTTTACCGGACAAACTTACAACATGTAATCTTAGCAATATTTTAAGCTAATTGTCAAAGTCTTGAGTTCAATACGTTGTAATCTGCGTACTTGCTTGAACAAGGTCATCAGTAGGTAGGGTATAATTTTCAACTAGCCTCTTCTGAATCCGAAAAAGGTGGATAACTGTAGTTCGACACTAGTGTCCATCCTTTTAGAAAGGAAAAAAAAAACTAATCAAATAGTGTGTCATGTGTTTTGTTAGACATAATAATGTGATTAGTTTAAGAATTGTCACAATGACATCGTGGTTTGATGTCATATCAAAATCACCAACTAACAAAGAATTAATCCTTCGTTCTTTCGCTATCGAGAAAAATCCCTCTCCATAATTACAGTAATTGACCAACTGAGCAAGAATATTAATCCATAAGTCAATCCATAAATATTTCAATGCTAAGTGTGTAATATTACAGTATAAAATTCAACTAATATGATCAAAGTCTTGGCCAACTCCAGGTTGGAAATTAAAAAGTAGCCGCCATTTGATCATGCAACTTGGACAAAATATATTACAGTATAAATTACATAAAACTATCTTATCTATCGAAACCATAATTTCATACTTCATGTTTTAAACATTGCAATGTCATACCTCAACCTATGATCGTTGCAATGTCTAAATTTTCTGTCAATTTAACTGTTAAATGATGAAGTAGTAGGAGTGAGACCCACTCATTTACCACATTGAATAACAAATTAATTAATTAATAATAAATTACTAGTTCTTATTTAACAATTAAACTTAATTTAAAAAAAAATAAAAATAAACTCTCTTCATTTCCCCAGAAATCGTCTCCTCCCCTCCCCCACCTCCCTCGTCCGTCCCCCTTCTTCCTCGTCCTCCTTCGTCCCCCTTCTTCCTTGTCCATCCACCGCCTTCGAGTCCACCGATTCGGACCAGCGAGTTCGTCATATCAGATCGGCACATATTCAATCTGTTCGACGGGAAAGATCCGGTGTTTTGACTCCCTCCGTGGTTCTTGTGGAGGTTGCAACGAAATGATCTGGCTACGACGTCGGCGAGCACATACCTTCCTCGGCATCAAAATCGGTCCGGTTTTCTTTGAAACGGCAGTGGATCGATTCGAATGATGGTTGGGAGAAATCGAATGGTGGTTGATGGAGAACCGAACGGACGGAGACGGAAATGAGAAGGTGTAGAGGTTGATACGCATCGGGGAAGCGAATCTGTAGCAGTGGTGGTAACCCAGAAAATGGGAAATAAAAAGAAAAAAATTGGACTGTAATGAACTTCCATTCTTCAATTAATATTATGGAGGATTTCGAAAATCCGGAGTTCTTGGCGAATTTTCAAATGGCCACTTCTTGAATTTTTGAAATTTTAGTTTCTCTAATTAAAAAAAAATGAATTCTCTAATTTCTTGAATTTTCTGGGTTTGTATTTGTGTTTTTCGTTTTGGGTTTTGTTTTTGTGGGGTTCTTCGTTTTGGCTTTCTGGAACTCTCTACCTTTGCAATTTTGTTTGGTGGTTTTCTTAGAAAAATGGTGAAGAAGAAGAAATTGAAGAAATGGCAGTGGGGCGAAAGCCCCAGTCGGTGATGGGATTTGAAGAGAGGGAAGATGATAAGGGGATGGTTTCTAATGCTCAGTTTTGCGAAATCTTAGTGAACTTATGATGAAGAAATCAATTAGTTTTATGTAAAGACTGTTGGAGCAAGATGATTTGGGTCTGGTTTTGGTTTGCCATCAAAACCCACTTATTTGGGGTCTGGTTTTGGTTTGCCATCGAAACCCACCTGCGTTTTGCGATCGGCGGTGTATCAGTTGTTCCCGGAGGAGGACGAAAATTAGCTGTGTTTAAGGAGGACTAGGAAGAGGGGGAGCGGAGGAAGGAGTGATGGGAGGAGGAACGGGACTATTTCCACGAAACAAGGAGGAGAGGTTTTTTTATTTATTTATTTTTAAAGTTAATTTTAATTGTCAAATAAAAAATTATTAATTTTTTAATAATTAATTAATTTTTTATTCAAGTTGGCAAAAAAGTGGGTCTCGTTTCTATCATGTCATCATTTAACAATCAGATTGACAGAAAATTTAATAAAGACCTGACATTTCAACAAATTCATACGATGAGGAATGATATTGCAATATTTAAAACATGAGGTCTGAGATTGTGATTCGACTTATAATTGAGATAGTTTTTTGTAATTTACCTTATATTGTATATGTATACGTTGTCAATATATGACTAAAATCTAATGGTCTTCTTCTTCTTACATGCAATGCATGATTCAGCCAGTCGGAATATAAGTGTTGGCCGTTTAAGTTCATGAGGAGAGCAAGTTCTGCACATACGATATGAAGATGAAGTTGATGATGAGGATACTATTACTCTGCTTCCTCGGCTGCTTCTGGTTTCAGCTGTCCATTGCTCAAAATGCTACCACTGATCCATCTGAAGGTTCTCTCTCTCTCCCCACCCACCCCCTACACACACACTTTGCCACATTTAAGTGTTTTTGATCAGGAACTGGGCTTTTTTCCCTCAACAAAATGACATTTTTAAGTGTTTTTCGACTATATGAAATGAAGTTTCGAAGAACTTATTTGTAAAGCCCTTTTTCTTCCCATATACAAAACATCCAAATTAAGGGTAATTTTCCTGTGTAATAATTAATTTGATCTCTCATTTGATTCAAGATAGTCTGGTAAGTGGTAACGCAAGTCAAAGTATGGTGTGATATAACCTAATACACACAATGACTGAATTAACTGAGAGTGCAGTGAGGGCGTTGAACTCAATATTTGAACAATGGGACACACAAGCAGCGCCGGGGCTGTGGAATATCAGTGGAGAACCCTGCAGTGGATCTGCCATCAACGGCACCGAATTTAACTTCCCCGATAACAGCGCAGCCGTCGTTTGCAACTGTACTTACGACAACAATGCTACATGCCACATCACCAAACTGTATGTTAAACTACTCTCTTTATGAACAAGATTTCCGTGCCACTGCTGATTTTTCACTTGTTACCTATATATTGATGTCATAATTTGACTGTGTCGCTCCATTTTATGTAGTTCTAAATGTTCAATCTTTTTGCTTTCCAGGAGTGTGTATGGTCTTAACAAACGAGGGGTGTTTCCAGAAGAATTTTTGGATCTAAGATATCTCGCAAATTTGTATGAATTTTTTTCCAACTCCTTTCTCTGTTTTTCGTTCATATTATCCATTGGATATTAAAAATTGTAGAATTATCAGAGAGAGGAGTCAAAGACTCACTTCCAACAACACCGATATTGTCTCCAAATTGGTAATTACCACCTGCACAATCCGTCAGGTGTGAGGTTTATCTCAAAAATGCCTCAGCATTAGTTGGAGTGGGATTTGGATATTTAAACTCTTCTTTCTTTATTTCTCTAGCCGATGTGGGATTTCAACAAAAATATGGTGATGTTGTAAGATTAAGAGTTAACGATTACATTCCTTTCAATTTTTGTAGGTATATCGATCATAATTATTTCACCGGTCCCCTACCAGCATTCATTGGCAATATGTCCGCATTGACTGAATTGTAAGTAGTGAGAGAACATTTCTTTAAGTACTCATACTTCTGATGAGACCCATAGGAATTTGTATACTTGATTTTGAATATCATAATCTACAGTTATGTTCTTTACACCTTTTCGCTACTATTTATGCCGTAATCTACAAAAAATCATTATGCTTTTATTGAATAATGCAATACTAGTTTCCTGTTATGTAATGTAATTAAGTTTAATGGTGCTTATCTTTCACTAACTGATATCTCCATTCAGGACAATTAGCAGAAATTCATTCTCAGGGTCCATCCCCAAGGAACTTGGAAACCTTTTGGAGCTAACTATGCTGTAAGCCCTGAAAAATTAGAGAGCATACAATAAAATTTTGTATCGTAAACATTAGATACAGAACCTTCTATCACTCTTCAATATTTGCTTTCAAGTAAGTGTTTGCCTGTTCAACATGACTTGCAGGAGCATCGCATCAAATAATTTCTCCGGAACACTCCCTCCAGAACTTGGTAATTTAGTCAAGCTCGAGCGACTGTAAGTGCTTCGTTAAATCATCAAATTTGAATTACATGTTAATTCCTTACGAATGAGCAAAAGTTGCGCTTTATCGTATGAAATGGGTACTCATCAATTGCCTTATGATTTTCACAGTTACATGGACAGCTGTGGACTCGGTGGTGAAATTCCTTCAACATTTGCCAAGCTCACCAACATGCAAGTCTTGTAAGAATGGCTCTTAAATCGTATTTTAGATTTGTTCGTTTATCCAGTACTTTGAGATTGCTTTTCTTGGATGAGCTTTAGTATAAGTCCACTTTTTGAATTTTAGCTGGGCATCGGACAGTCCTTTCTCAGGAAAGATACCTGATTTCATAGGGAATTGGACACAACTCACTGATTTGTAAGTAGAGAAACCTTTGATCTTTTGCAGTTTATGAAAGCAGGCCCGAGGTGGATAATTTGTTCACAAGTGTCTTATATGTTTCTGTAGGCAATTTCAAGGGAACTCTTTCGAAGGCCCAATACCAACCAGCTTTTCTCAACTGACCTCATTGAACTCTCTGTAAGTACAAATGTTCATAAATTGTAATTCTCTCTCTTTCTCCGAAGATGGGATTTCAGTTTATTTTGCATATAATGATGTAGGCGAATCAGTGATATATACAATGGGAGCTCCTCTCTTGATTTCATAAAAAATCTGAAAAACTTGACTGAATTGTAAGTGAAGATTCTCATCAATCCAGATACTTTCATCTAACTTCTTTTTCATTTTGAAATTTGATATCTTACCCCATCTTCTTTTTATCAAATTTTATGTTTTTGGAATACAGAAAACTACGAAACGCATTAATCACTGGTACCATCCCATCTAATATTGGAGAATATCAAAGTCTAGAGACACTGTACGTACCAGCAAATATAAGCTTGAGTCCCAACGAGACCAATTTGTCTTCTTTCATTCTGATTGCTCCTCTCAACTTATCGTTGGTGTGCAGGGATCTGAGTTTCAACAATTTGACAGGCCAACTCCCAAGTTCTTTGTTCAACTTGAGTTCTCTTGAATCCTTGTAATCCCCGTCTTTATTATTATCTTTTTCTTGCCTTATCATGCATAAGTTATCAAATCTTTAACATTCCCTTTTGTTTGTTCATCTCCTTTTCTTTTCTGGGTGCCTTTCTACTATAATCAAAATGGCCAGGTTTCTTGGAAACAATAGTCTCTCCGGACCTCTTCTGAACCAAAAGAGCGATCAACTTCAGACCATGTAAGTCCTCGTTTCTTAAAGTAGTCATATAGAATGCACGGTGCATGTATGTGTTTGTGTATAACCATAAGCATTCTAATCCTATCTTACACAAGCTCTTAATAACTTTCATGCATTTTGTGTCCTCTGATTTTATTTTGTTATTTGCAGAGATTTGTCTTACAATTTTTTATCAGGAAGCTTTCCCCAGTGGGTGACCAATATATCGCAAGTGTACGTGTCATTTTATCTTTCATCTTCATTCTACAGTTTAAATCACCAAAATATGTTCGGACAAAAAATTATCGCTGAGATTCGTTTTCACAGTGCTACTTGCCTACTAAGTTTTGATCTTGTACATGGAATTTTCATTTGATAAAGATATAGTTCTTCATATGTTGATTGATTAATGATTTTATGCAGGAACTTAGTGGTCAACAACTTCACATTTGACAGTTCAAACATAACGTGAGTTGAAGTTTCTCTTACTCGTTTTAGACAAGCAATACCATCACTACTCTTCCACTACATGATTCTATTTGGATAACTAATAATTGTTCTCTGTGTTTGCAGTCTTCGTGGATTGAATTGCCTCCAGAGAAATTTTCCATGCAATCGAAATACCCCACGATGTAATCTGCTCTTATGTCACCCATCATTTACTATTTTAACGCAACATCATGTTACAGGAAAAGGCATTGCTTCTCTAGTTATGTATACATATGGGTATAGATTGCAAGCATGTTTTCATAAGTTCAGTAATATGCATAACTGGTTAGAAATATGTGACTGAAGAACATTAGTATGAGTCTTCAATTTGAAGTTTCATCGCTAATCATGGGTAGATTCTCGTATTACATGAAACTTTACAGATGCAAGCTTCTCAATCAACTGTGGTGGACAGCAAATGAAGGGAGATGGCATATTGTATGAGACTGATGAATCAGTTCTTGGCTCAGCAACATTCAGTGTAACCAGTGCAGAGAATTGGGCAGTCAGCAATGCCGGTTTGTTTTCTGACCAATATCCCTCATCGTCCCCCTCATCGTCTCGGGAAAATACCCCATCGTTGGTAAATACCCATGCACAAGTCACCGGAACAGACGTGACCCCGGAGCTTTTCCAGACTTCAAGAGTGTCCACAGGATCACTGAGATACTATGGCCTGGGCCTTGAGAATGGGCCCTACACTGTAACATTGCACTTTGCAGAGACGGTTTATGAAAGTCGCACTTCGCAAACTTGGCAAAGTCTAGGACGGCGTGTATTTGATATCTATATCCAGGTAAGACTGCTTATAGAATAAAAATTTTAACTTATTTGAAGTAAACACCTCATTGGACAGGTTTTCGATGTTTTAAGCTACATTAACTAAAGACAGTGATTTAAAGGAGAATAGAATTATCACCTACCTCTTCATTTGGTTGCTAGGGTACCCGCAGGACGAAGGACTTTGACATATCGAAGGAGGCAGGTGGTGTTAACCGAGCAGTTGTGAGAAAATTTAATGTTAGCATGTCAGAGAATTATCTTGAAATTCATCTGTTCTGGGCTGGTAAAGGGACTTGTTGCATACCCGATTATGGTCATTACGGCCCACTAATAGCAGCTGTCCATGCTTCTTCAGGTATAGTATCTGATAACTTATAGAGATTTCCTGTGAGTGGTTTAAATGTATTTTTATGCTGTTAATTGACATTGAAGAATTCGTCTCTTTTATCACTTAGATTTTACAAAGAAGAGCAAGGCTGGGTTGATAGTCGGTATTGCAGTTCTTGTTGGAGTTGTGAGCTTGCTATTAATATTTGCGATTCTATTTATGAGGAGGAAAAAAACAGAAAAAGAAGACGATGAAGGTAAACGACCATATCATTACTGGTACCCAATTCAGGTTTCTTTGCTCTGACATTAACACACAAAAGTAAGAAGGCTTTCACTGAAGTAAAACTTATGTCATACTGTTTTGTGAATGTGCAGATATTCTAGGATTAGGCCCCTGGCCATATACTTTTAGTTATGCTGAATTAAGAGCTGCAACCGAAGATTTTAATCTTTCAAATAAGCTAGGAGAGGGAGGATATGGCCCCGTTTATAAGGTGAAATCCTTATTACATCAATATCATGTACTTGAAGTAATGACAAGAGAAAGGAGAGAGAGCGAGAAAAGAACATATAGCTTCTGTTTTCTTTCCCTTCACGTCACTAAATTGTGTTTCTGTGTACATTGTAGGGTACACTTTCTGATGGTAGAGTAGTGGCTGTGAAGCAACTTTCAGTAGCATCTCACCAAGGGAAGAGTCAATTTGTATCTGAAATTGCTACCATATCTGCTGTGCAACATCGGAATCTAGTGAAATTGTATGGATGCTGCATTGAAGGCAGCCACCACATTTTGGTTTATGAGTATCTTGAAAACAAGAGCCTTGATCAGGCACTTTTTGGTACAAACCTATCTACTTTTAGGTTGCATAGAAACAACATTGTCTGCAGTTTCAAGCACTCTAAAATTGTTAAGAAATGTTTTTGATTGGATGTGTTCACTGATATTTCAGGAACAAGTAACTTGCACCTTGACTGGCCTACTCGATTCAATATATTGTTGGGAACAGCAAGAGGACTTGCTTACCTTCATGAGGAGTCAAGGCCAAGGATTGTACATCGAGATGTCAAAGCGAGTAATATTTTGCTCGATGCAGAACTTTCCCCAAAAATATCAGATTTTGGACTGGCAAAGCTTTATGATGACAAGAAAACCCACATCAGCACCCGAGTTGCAGGGACAATGTAAATCATCCTTTATTGTTTTTCCAGAGGATACATACATTATGGCCACACACATTTATACTTGCATGAAATTTTCACACATGTTAATAATGCCTCTAATGATCTTAAGTAACATTGTGCAACCATTTGATTATCTTGCATTGCAGAGGCTATTTGGCACCGGAGTATGCATTGTTTGGACATTTGACAGAGAAGGCCGATGTGTTTGGTTTTGGAGTCGTCGTTTTAGAGATCCTCAGCGGGAGACCAAACTCTTACAATAACTTGGATCCAGAAAAGATTTATCTTCTTGAATGGGTAGGAATTGCATTCGCCTAGCTTCATTTAGGCATTGTTGTGAAAAACTTATTTATACTTTCCTTTGACAGTGGCATAATGTTTTTCAGGTATGGACTCTACATGAAAACGACCAAACTCTGGGGCTGATGGATCCGAGATTAATAGAGTTCGATGAAACTGAAGCAACTAGATTGATAAGAGCAGCTCTCCTGTGCACGCAGGGATCACCGATGGCACGGCCATCTATGTCACGTGTGGTTGCAATGCTCTCTGGAGACATTGACATAAGCACTGTCATGTCGAAGCCAAGCTATTTGACAGATTATGATTTTAAAGATGTAACAACATCGTTAACAAGTAGATTTTTGGTGGAGGATGATACCCCATCAACTTCATCCAAGGGTAGTAATGTTCGCCTCAACTATTAGTCGGGAGGCAGCAATGCAAATGGTGCTAACACTCCCTGGATTGACCCTACACCTTCTGTAAACGTCACTCAATCACTGCTCGCTAGCATTAGAGGAGAAGGAAGGTGATAAATATCGGGAAATGATTTTCGCATGTTCTTTTTACCCCTTTGTGCACCCTTGTACTTGTTTTGGACCCTTTCCTTTTATATAATACACATTTTAATAATTAATTGTAATTGTAATTTAGCTTTGGCTTTTGGTAGTGGGCAGGGACTGGCATGCCAGATTTGAATATACCTTAGCAGATGGATGTATATCCTACTTATTCATACACAATGTTTATAGATATGTTCATGAACCACCACCACTTGATGGAGATCCCACCACTAAAAATTAAGAATGTGTTCAGGGAATTCAGATAATTTAATAACGCCTTTTTGGGTCTATAAATTGAGCCTTGATGTTGATGGTCCAGTTGCATAATAAAGAAGAAAATGCCTTTTTGGGTCTATAAAATGAGCCTTGATTTTGATTGGACGTGTTCACTAATATTTCAGAGACAAGTAACTTGCACCTTGGTTGGCCTACTTGATTCAATATATTGTTGGGAACAGCAAGAGAACTTGCTTACCTCCATGAGGAGTCAAGGCCAAGGATTCTATATCGAGATGTCAAAGCCATTAATATTTTGCTTCATGCAGAACTCCCCCCAAAAATATCAGATTTTGGATTGGCAAAGCTTTATGATGGCGAGAAAACCCACATCAGCACCTGGGTTGCAAGGACAATGTAAGCCATCCTTTATTATTTTTCCACAAGATACATATATTATAGCCACACATTTATACTTGCATGAAATTTTAACACAAATCATGTTAATAATGCCACTCATGATCTAAAGAAACATTGTACAACAATTTGATTATTGCATTGCAGAGGCTATTTGGCACCCAAGTATGCAATGCGTGGACATTTGATAAAGAAGGCTGATGTGTTTGGTTTTGGAGCCGTTGCTTTTGGAGATCCCCAGCGGGAGACCAAACTCTGACAATAACTTAGATCCATAAGAGATTTATCTTCTTGAATGGGTAGGAATTGCATTCCCCTAGCTTTATTTTGGCATTGTTGTGAAAAACTTATTCACCCTTTCCTTGGACCATGGCATAATGTTTTTCATACATGGACTCTACATGAAAATGACCAAATTATGGGGTTGGTGGATCCGAGATTGACAGAGTTTGACGAAACTGAAGCGACTAGACTGATAAGAGTAGCTCTCATGTGCACACAGGCATCACCAATGACGAGGCCATATATGTCACGCGTGGTGGCAATGCTCTCTGAAGATATTGACATAGGCACTATCATGACGAAGCCGAGCTATTTGACATATTATGATTTTAAAGATGTAACGACATTGTCAACATGTAGCTTTTTGATGAAGGATGATACCCCATCAACTGCATCCAAGCATAGTAATGACCGCCTCAACTATGAGCCTGAAGGCTATACAAGTGGTGCTAACACCCCCCGTGGTTGACCTTGCGCCTTCTCCAGTAAACATCACTCAATCACTGCTCGCTGGCATTATTAGAGAAGGAAGGTGATAAATAATGGGAAATGATTTATGCACGCCTTTTATCCTTTTGTGCACCGATGTACTTGCCCTTGAGTAAAACTTACATGTCAATTTTGTGGTAGTATGTTGCGGTGTAAATCTCCACTTTTAATCAAAAGGAAAATAATGGATGTTTCTTTTTCAATAGTTGGTGCTATTCACACACCCATTTTAATTTCTCACACATTTTTTTGGTAATTTTTGTCTTTTGGTCTTTTTTAATTCATTCGATCCGACGGTCGAAAATTGAGAAGAGTGGGTGGAGGTAAAATAGGTGTGAATAGCACCACCCTTTTCTATCTGATACCCAAGTAGGTATAATAAAACATAAGCAATCTTAGTAGATGCCTATAAACAAAAGCCACGAGTTGGCTCTAGATGAGTTATTGTCAATTGTTGATTCATTACGGTGTCACCCTAATGTGACTCTTTGGTAGTGTTTTTGCATAAGCCAACTTTTTTACATGAATGATTATGAATTGTTGGTCGATCAGTGTCACCTGAAGAAAATCTTTGGTTAAATTGCTATGCAAGTGTCACCTTTCTCACATGAGTGGCCTCAACAGTGGGGCCCGAGTAAAACCAAAATGTAGGGAAGTTCATGCTCACCAAAGCAAATCTCAGTTGAAAAATAACCTCGGATCAATAAACAATTCCAAAGCAAGATCAACCTGTTTAAGGCTATGGTGCTCATCTAGTTGTCTTTGTGCCTTTTTTCTTTACATTTGGAAGTGCCAGTGCCAGATCACTTGAGGCAGCAAGTCTAGGCCCCACATTTTATTCGTTTCCATTGCCTACACTAAAAGTGACCATTAGAATTTGAACGTTATAAGCCTACCGTTTTCCAGTCCCACTTTTTTAGTTCTCGTCACTCACTTTGCTCTTCTCTGCAAAAGTATTAATTACATATATACTCTCTCTTAGTATCATCAGAACTCAAAGAAAGAATGAGAGCTTTGGAGAAGTGAAAGTAGTAGCAGAAACTAGAAGAAGAAAGGGAGACATCTTAGTCTCCCCCCAGAAGCTGAGGTTGCTGCCTGTCAAGAAGTGTTTGTATGTGGTCAAGGCGAGCACCTTCTTGACCATCTTATCTGGCTTCAAATTCGCATTCACTACCTCTTCTAGAATCACATCGAACACCTTCTTGAAATCAGCCGTCCAGTCCTGGCTTTTGATCAAAGTCTGCATAATATTCGGCCCTCGAATTAAGATCATCGCCTTGTATCGAATGCAGCTAAAGGTTTTTGCTTTAGGTGACCACATTTCCCTTCCATCGCTCGTCACTCAATTGAGGCAACAAAAGCCCCAAAGCCAAACTCACCAACAAGGTGTTGTCGACAACATACAGCTAACCAATTCTTCAACTTCCCCTGCTTTGAGTAGACCTCCATCATTTTCTTCCACTTAATATTAGCTTCTTGCTCGAGCTCAGGATACTTGATATAACTTAATATGTCATGTGGAAGCAGCGCTGCATCGTCAGCGGAAGCAGCGCTGCATCGTCAGGATCAATCTCATTGGCTGGAGCCAGTTGCTCTCGCTTGTTCTTCGCTCTATAACCCCACCGGTTGGAAGGTTCCCAGCCCTATGGCGCCATAGTTTTTCTCAAGGGCAACAAAACCTCCTTCCTCAGTCGGTCAATACAACAAACACTACCATCCCCTTCTCGGAGGCATGATTCTGGCGGGAAAACCTTCATTGCAATGATCAGCGATGGTAGGCAAATAGGTAGCTGCTTGGGTAATCTGCAAGCAGTAATCATCATGATGGTCATGGTCCTTGTGATGATGAATTTTTCAATATCAAACTTGAGGCACTGGGCAAAATTATCCGAAACACAGTCGTGCAAAAAGCGATAATCAGCGTCGCACTCGTATCTCTAAGCCGCCTTGTTGGTCGTGTGGATCGCCTTCCTCCTCAACAACAATTCGCTTGCCTTTGACTTGGTGTCTTTTTCCTTAACCTTCACCATTCCGTTTGAATCCGCCTTCTCCCTCGTCCTCCCAGTAAATTTCAGGTGAGCTTCGCCTCGTCGAACCTGCGAGAAAATGCGAGGAAGGTCTAGGATATGTCCGAAGGAGCCGAAAATTGGCACGAGATTGTAGGCAAGGGTTTTGGGGTGGTTCTAGTAGAGCCAAGCCGCGTCTGTCTATGAAGTTGCAGATGAGTTTGAGGGTGGTTAGAAGATTGTGCGACCAGGCCGAGGGAAGCACTTGGTTCATCAGAATTTTGTGGAATTCCACGGTCGACATGGCGTCCTTGGCGTAGTGGAAGTACATATCAACACAAGGGTTGTTGATGTTGTGGAAGCCTAATTGGGGTTGTTTGAATTTGAACTGCTCAGGTCGCGGCAGAGCAATTCTTGTGAATTGCGGTCAAACGGCCTTGTTTCGGCGTGCTTCCAGAATCGATATCAGGAATTCCCACGCTTTGCTGCGGGTTTTCAAACCATGAATAATATTCATAGAAAAATTAATTGAAAATGCTACATACAATCACATTCTTAAATGTAGCAATTCAGACAACACACGTTTCATATGAGTAACACTCACGAAACCACACATTTACACAATTATCTCCAAATGAAAGAAAAAGCAAGAGATAGGTGAATTGATCCATAAAATAAGCAGTTCAATTTACATTGCTACTCTCTTGTAACTTATTAGAGCTTCTTTGCAGATCAATCATAATGATTTCTTCATTGCTTTCACCAGATATTTCTATAGTTCTACTCTAGCAGTCCAATTGACAGAACAAATAGCAAGTGCGATTTTATTTGTTGCTTTGAATGTGTTGTAAAGATAATACCACCAACTAAGGGTGGCAATTGATTCTTGTAATAACATACTATCTATGAAGCATGGATACGGATACGGCGATGCGATACGATACGACACGACACGGCGATACATAAAATCTTTAAAAATTAAGATACGATATGCTATGGATACGGCAAATAAAAATGTATGTAGCAACAAAAATATACATTTTAAAACATAATTCATCATTCAAATTCAAGTACATTTGAGTTGTTAGAGAAGAAAAGTTCAAAATATAATCCTCTTTATATAGTAGAAGAAGTGTGAAAGTCGTATTCATGATTTTAATTAAAGGGAAGCTCTTTTTATTCAACAACTTTCAATTATAGATGCCTCCTATTAACTTTCTCCTCCTCATTACCTTTTTTGAAAGTGTAAATGTATCCTAAAAGCTAGATACGTGTATCCTAAATGTAAGATATGCGTATCCATCAACTAGGATACGTTTCAGACGAGTATCCGAGAGTATCGGGCAAGTATCGTATCCGATCAAGTATCGGATACGGGATGCGGGACCAAACAGAAGTATCCGTGCATCATAGCATACTATAAAAGTAAAGGTATGGATAAAAAAGAAAATGCGTCTTTTGAAAGATATAGAACAAACCTGAAATTCAACGAATTGTCCTTTTACAAAGCACAACACCAGACTTGATTTCCCAGCTCCAACATCCCCAAGAAGCACTTGAAGAAGAACATCAAACATCACTGTGGTGATCACGACATGCAATACCCAAAGAAAAATAATTTAAGAAAAAATAAACCTATTCATCACATAATGCTAAAATACATATGCCTACATATCCATAATTCCTATGTTTACGGAACATCTTTCGATAAATCACAACTTCATTTTAAAATGGACTTTTGTATTTGTATTTTGCTTGTGAGTATGGTCTTGGTTAAAATTTAGCATTCTAGCATTTACTTATATGATATCATATAGCAAGAAAGCTATGAGACCCGAGTCACAGTATATTGTATTCTCGGAGACCCTCAAAATACCAGAGCTAGACAGAGATAAACAACAACACGAAAGAGAAACCTTTGCTTTACATGAACACTGACATTTGCATGTGCAGAGCTCTCTTTCCTGCTTTCCCTTCTTTTCTTCCTCACCTTTCGGCTCTTTCTCCTAGATTAAGGAGATCGTTGTTTTGTTGTTAGTGGTTACCATCATCAAAACATTCAAATCAAATTTAGTTAATATAATTAATTTTAATAATTGTAATAAGAAGTAATGATTATGTCCAACCTCTGGGTCAACATTTGTAGGCTATATCTAAAAAAAAGTACTAAAAAAGTTTAAACACAAAACCCCCAAAATTATAAAATCAAAATATAATGTACTACCCCTTTTCTCCCGTTTTTCTCTCACCCTCCATTTCTGCAAATCACCTACCTCCCTCTCTCCCTATGTACTCCTTACCTCTCTCATAATATCAAAACTCTCAAACCCAATTCAATGCCTCATTACCTAGTTTTTTTTGTATATCTTTTTCAACTAAACCCTAAACAATCTATTGCTGCAAGCAACATAACGTCCACTTTGAAGATTTTTGTGGAACCACTTTGCAGGTTTTGTGGAACCACTTTAAAAATTCAAATCTTTAAGCACCTGAGTACTGGAAATTCAAAACTTCAATAGGTATCCCTCCTTACCACAGATATGTAGTTTTAAAAATAAAACCAAAAGGATTAATTCCAATTAACATATACTTTAAAACTACCATAGTAATATTGATTAATTAAACTACTTTTTAAATATGCCCAGCAAGGTAACTTTTGGGTTTGACAAAAATTTTAAACCTACGAAGGGATATATCAAAATCAATTTGTAAGTATGACAAAAGTCCCTATGACAGTATCAAAGCAACTATAATCACAAAGAAGTTGAGAGATTACTTTCTGATTATCAAAACCACTACTGGATTTATGCAGACACAAAATCTCACAATATTATTACCACGACCTTATGCATAATAGGAACAACACCATAATCATTTGCCTACCAGACATTAACTCTTCTACAACATCAAGTTTAACAACCAACCAACCTTTGAACAAAGAACACACGGACAGAAAGAAGCGGGATAGATAAGGGGCAAAGCAATTTTCTTACTTCTACATCAAAGCAAAAGAACAACCATTATATAGGTATGCCATTATCATCTGAAGAACAAATCCAATTGGCAGCTTTTAGGTACCTACAATTATAAGCAAAGTTTGGAATTCACAAAAAATACTGGGCAAATACTAAGGCTACCATTTGAAAAAGCTAAACAACAACAAACTTTGACATGTTAACTACAACTAAATTCAGATGACATTCGATATATGAAGACAATCTGATAAATCAAAGGCTCTAAAATCAATACCATATTTCATGTGCCTTTTATTGATGGTGAACCCAACAGTAGAATCAGGACAAAAATTTGATTTAAAACCTTGCTATCTTTGTCCTTGTAAATATGATATTTTGGCATCGGCAATATATCACGAAAAAAAAACCAAATATATATGAACTCAAAGAAAATATAGAACGAAAATAAACAAGCAAATGATGAACATTTAGAAGCTAACTAGTATAAGTACCCGCGCGTTGCTGCGGGTTTTTAAAGCGTATAAAATATGTAAAAAATTCTACACACATGTACAACCAAAATAGGGATTCAATTATGGATTCGTATTCCTGTTTACAGTATTTGCACACATACACTAATCAGCACTTTTAAATTCTTCGATTATCACTTCAGAACTTCTTTTATTTTTTATGATATTCATGCTTCTCGGTAACAATGTGAAAAAGTAAAAGCTACTAATGTAAATTGTTAAAATAATTCAGTAATATCGCAGCTCTCAAATCCATTTAATAGGATACATTAAAAAAAAAAAATTGCAAGCTACCTGTTATCGTTGATCAGCAACTTTTTACATACATTATTTTGGTGGCAGCATAGGTAGATCAGCAACCTTCTACAAACTTTATTCCTTGCATAACATTGACAATAGTAATATCACATGACAATTTTATGATCACAAAAATTTCTGCAAGGCCAGCACAAACTGTCACAACCTTTGAAAATAACAATTGACAAAAACTTGTTCAGATTCAAGATAAAACTTCAATGACGCTCATATGATAAATCTGCCATTCATCTAGTAGCATTCTTACAAAAAAAAAAAAAAAGCATTGAGTTGCTTTCCTTCCAAATTAAGTTTACCTACCACGGGAGAGGTTGAACCAACTATCCCCTAGATCCCGAGTACATGCCAAAGCTCTCATTCAAAGCTGAAGGCATACCGCTGATTGACTCGAGACCCACCTTGGGTAAAAAATTTGACCACTGAGAATGTTGAATTCTCTGATCTGCCTTTAGATGAGAAAGGAAGATTTCGGGGGATGAGCATATCAAGAATGTAAGAGACTGGATAGAGGGGTTTGATTTCACAGTGGAAAAAAGCAAAACTCCACATACAGATATATACTACTTCCAAACTAAACTTTTGCAGAAACTATACATAAACTTTCTCAAAGATACAATGTCCGGCTTCAATACTACTCAGAAGACATAATTCATTGAAAATTATTCTGGAAGGGAGCAAAATTTACCTTAAACACCGCCGTAAGCAAATCAGCATTGGGGAGAATTTTTGTTGAAACACTGAATGGAAAATCAAGAGTTTAAAATTCAAACAGGAGCATTATTTAAAACCCAAAATTGAATCATCACATAAGGAATTCAGTGCAACCATCATCAAACCTGTTGCTCTTTCTAATCAACTACAGCTCCTTTCTCATTTTTCGTTGAGTTCCGAACACTCTGTATGCCATTGATTTGGATTGCCTCATTTCCTTTGGTATTTCTGCTAAACTTACTGGGAACGTCTTCTCTCTGCATTTCCCTAACCAAACACAATCACAAATTAGTCAATTATAATAAAAAAACGTAAAAATAGCGCTACATAGTGGATTTATAGAGGGTTTATAAAATAACAAAGGCACGTAATTTAATAGTTTATGAAAAAATAAATCATACATCGTTTTGAATAGTTCCTATTCAAAAAATAGACTTACTGATGAGTCAATTGCCAATTTTCTGAAGAAATCGTATGCTTTTTATGAGTGTATCACAACCTTCAAAAAATACATAAAAATCAGTAATATTGTAAATTAAAACAAAAAAGAAAACCTCAAAAAGGAAAAAAAAAAACTAATTATCATTGAAGTTACTGAAAGCACCAGAAATTACAAAAAAAAAAGAGAGAGAATCCACACTAAACAAAAAAGAAAAGAGAACTTGCCCTCAAGTATGGATTGTATAATGATTTCCAGTGTCCAGGTTGTGAGTTTTCATGCTATTTTGAATATAACTCGCACTTACCAAGACCAATAGATGATGCTACACCAAGAGCCAGCCATCAGAGTCCAAATTGCAGATAACGAATAAGCTCCTGGATATGCTACATTTTGATTAATTATAAAATCAATAAAGGAAACTCCAAAAGAGAGAGAATCCACACTAAACAAAAAAGAAAAGAGAACTTGCCCTCAAGTATGGATTGTATAATGATTTCCAGTATCCAGGTTGTGAGTTTTCATGCTATTTTGAATATAACTCGCACTTACCAAGACCAATAGATGATGCTACACCAAGAGCCAGCCATCAGAGTCCAAATTACAGATAACGAATAAGCTCCTGGATATGCTACATTTTGATTAATTATAAAATCAATAAAGGAAACTCCAAAAGAGAGAGAATCCACACTAAACAAAAAAGAAAAGAGAACTTGCCCTCAAGTATGGATTGTATAATGATTTCCAGTATCCAGGTTGTGAGTTTTCATGCTATTTTGAATATAACTCGCACTTACCAAGACCAATAGATGATGCTACACCAAGAGCCAGCCATCAGAGTCCAAATTGCAGATAACGAATAAGCTCCTGGATATGCTACATTTTGAATAATTATAAAATCAATAAAGGAAACTCCAAAAGTACATCAACATTATGCAATAAACATGCCCAATAATGCATATATGATGCAACATTCATGGGAAATCTTTATCCCAACAACTCATACAAACAATATTAAGCAAACTATATTAATCAAATAACGGTTACTCTAACTAAAATTCTAAATGCAACTGAACAAAAATGTCACCCTTCGAGTAAATACCTCTTGTTGAGGTCCACCAACTGTCGCAGTGATCACTCATGTACCTCCTGCTAACATAATTAGAAGCAGAAACCAACCATCTCTCGCCATAAAACACCAAACATATTTGCCAATAGCCAAATTGAAATACTTTAACGTCTTTAACAGCTGTGTTGTAAGTGTTTAATTTTCTAGTTCCTGGTGATGCTTCAAACGGAGTCCTGCGGAATTCAAAGATTACAGACAACCTTCAGATTTTCAATCTGAAAATTGAAAAAATTAAACTACTTTCCTCAATTGGAATTTAATTAAACATTTAAAGAGTTAAAATGATCAAACTTTTTGTTTTTATTTACCTACCCATAAAAGTTTGATTTCCATTTTATTTAAAAACGTACAAAAATTGAAACCTTCTGTTTCCATTTGATTTCCCCTTTCATAATTAGCTCAGCTGAGTAGCTCCCCCACCTTATTACTCCCACGTACTAACGTAAACAATGAGTCACTACAAATTTCAGGTTTTACATGAAATTTTTTAAAGGAAAGTGTATAATTGGAAAGAGTAGAAGAAGAGTACATGTGCATGCTCAGATCAAATCAGCCAGAACCTGATCTAATTGCAATGACAGGAGTGAAATCCGACTTCCAGTTGCTGCACCTCCTAGCTTCCTTCTGCTGCAACTCAAATTTGGTAGAACAAAAGTCTCAATCTTTAACAGATAGGAAAAACCCAGTAATCACACATATTTAACAGATCGAACTCAAAAATTAAAGAACGAAAAGAAAAGGTGAGGAATTTACTCGAACCCACAAAATTAAAATTAATTACAGCATAATCAGGCTAAAGATTCAAAATTCACTATGTAAAGACCCAAATTAAACATAAAATTCAAAATTCACGACGCAACAACCCGAATTAAACACAAAATCAAGGTCCTTTCAGAAAAATAAGCTTAAGAAAGGGAAAATCTGAAACCTATCGAAAGCGCAGAAATAGAGAGAAAAAAGAATTGGGGGAAAAGTTGGGAAATTTACCAGAGGGGTTTAGGTGGAGGCGCCGAGAGGAGCCGATCTGCAAGGCAGATTGAAGCTCGAAGGGCCGAGCTTGGACTCTCCGGCAGTGGCGAGATCTAGGGTTTTCCACAGACAGATAGGAAACCTAGATTCGGAAAATAGGGAGAGAAATAGAGACCTTGATTCGAAGAGAAATGGTGAAGCCCTAAATCGAGCTGCTTGGTGCAGAGAAGAGTGAGGCGAGGAGGGAGACGGGGAGAGCAGGAGTCAAACAAAATAAGGAAAAGCTGATGATGGGGAGAGAGAGAACCGAAAAGCACCCAAAGAAATCGAAACCGGAGAGGATAAACGCGTGGCCTCGGAGGGGCAAGGAAGTCATTTTACTGTAGAAAAGTTGGCAAAAAATTGGCTTAACAAACGAATTGAGGGGTATTTTAGTCCGCACACTGCCCTAGAACAGTAACCAGCGTTTGGGTTTTAGTATATATAGAATTTCATTAGCAATTAAAGCAACCAAGCTCTCTCAACATCAAGATTCAGAACCCCCCAGGAACCAGAAATTTGATGAAAACTTTTCTAATCACTCAATTGGATTAGACAAAATCATGAATTTTTTTTCTAAAGCCCAATTATATTAAATCACAAATTTGAAGCAGAATTTAACATGCAATAAGTCAATAAGATTGGAATCACTTCAGACTAACCTCGATGGCAGGCCTCCGGAATCGCCCGATCCGAACCAACCAAAAAAAAATCTATTAACTTGATCTTCAACCTAACTATAAAGAGGAGCTTTATAACATCAACATGCCAAAACAACCAAGCCCAACAAATTAACAAACTAATTTTTCTTAATCAATAATAGCATACATATTATCAAATTATCAATCAATAATTCACATATCGTTAAGGGTTAAACAAATATATGAAGACTGGAAATTTACTCACACATCTAATATATCCTTGCATTTCTATTTCAATTCATAATACGTGGAAATCACATCAACAAATCAAAGCCCTAAATTTTTATCATCCTGAACTGGAAAAATCTGTAAAATCTAAAATTTTTGACTAAAAATGCTAACTTAGGAATAGGAGGAAATTTGCAAATTAGCTAAACAATGCTATTATTTATCCAATCAAAGGCAAATTGGAGTGGTGCAGAACTAACACTACAAAATTCGTTAAACTAAACAATGGGTAGAATGTTTATAAGATTTATATTTTATACAAAAATTAATCTTCTAAAAAAGCAAAAAACACAATTTTTTTGTTAAGCAATCGCATGGATTATAAATGCCAAAGATTAGATGATGGTAGGCGTCAGATTACCTCTTTAGCCGAAGCTGCGAAACCCCTCATTGCCGACGTGGCGGGGAGGATCTTCTGCCCCAAAATCTGAACCAACACAAAGATTAGGCAGTAAATCACATAATAATAAATTAATCAAGTGTTTTATATAATGAAGGTTCATAAATTGCAGAAGTAGAGGGTGTACCATAGCTGATGAGCTTCCAGCTCCCACTTTTTGCCTTAAAATTCCCAACATCTTTGATTCTTTCACACAAAATCACACTGAACGCAAACAGAAATCAGAAACAAAATACGATCTAAGAACTGAAAATTTCAGTGAAAGCACCAAGAGAGATGAGGAGGAATAACAAATGATTTACTGGAAATATGGAAAAGAAAAAAAACCAGATCAAAATTCGGATAGAAATAAACAATACGAATTAGGGGATTTGGGAGGGGGGACGAACCTGTTTGGCGGATTGGAGCGGGGATCGGATCGACGATGCGATGTGTAAAAAATGAGCGTTGAGGGAGCGGAGCAGCAGCAGCCAACACTTTCATGCAGAACTTAATTGGAAAACCCAGATCAAACCAACCTTTAAGTTTCAAGGTTTTTACCCTGGAATCCAGGCAGAACCAGATTAGATTCTAAATGGGTTTATCAAAAATAATAATTTGATCAAAAATGCTTATTCCTGTAGTGGGTGTACATCTGGTACTGCGTATTCTTGTAAATTGTCGTTGCAATAATACAATATTACTCAAAATGATGCAGTGGTGGGTGTACCGTGTACGGATTAAAGAGGGTTTTAGGTGAATGTGATCAGCCTACCCATGTGTCTAATGAATTAAAATAATAAAATGGTATGTGATGTGATATGTTTTAGGTCAATATAATAATAAGGGTTAAACTCTGTTTACTATCCTGAAGTTTTGTGGTTTTCAATATTTAGTACATCAAGTTTTTTTCGTCTCAGAGTCATACCTAAAGTGTTAATTTTGGGACAGTCTCATACATCTGTTAGTCAAACTGTTAAATCTACCGTTAACTGATGACGTGGCGCCCATGTGGACAATGACTAGGCACCACGTGTCATTAAAAGGTCCACGTGGATTTTTCTTTATCTTCATCATCCCAAACCCCTCATCCTAAACCCATCTCAATCTTCATCTCCAAAATCCAGAAAAATCAACAACCCTACAAAAATCAAGCTAAAACTTTCAAAACCCAAATCAAATCTCAGCCCCAAATACCCTCTAAACCATGAAAAAAAAAATCAAACAACAAAGAAATCTGAAAAATACAATAAAAACCCAAATCCAAGTTTCCGTCGATTAGCACGCAGAGCCATGAAGATCAGAACTTTGAAGCTCCGAGAGGTCCACAAGCCCACGAGCAGCGGCGGGGGGCCGTCGTACTGCTCGATGCCGTGGAACCAGCAGGCCTACCACGTAGTGACGGCCTCCTCCTCCGACCCCACAATCGCCATCCACGACTCTCTTATCTTGTCCAGCCTTCCCAAGCTCCTCCGCCACCACCGCGACAGCGTCACGGCTCTCGCTCTCAGCCCCAACTCCACCTGCCTCACCTCCGGCTCCGTTAAGCTCTACAAGTTCCCGGTCCCTATCTCCCAACCAAGTAAACAAACAACACCAAGATCTGAATTTCCATCCAAAATCAAATACAACAAATTAGGGTTTCGTAATATGAGAAATTGGGATATGAGATTTGGGTATAACAAGGAGAAAAATAACAAATTCATAATAAAGTTTGAAGCTTTTAAATATACAAATATGCACAAGAATGTAAATGGCAGGTTAATAGTACAAGAACCCATATATTCAAATTTTAGATAGAGAAAGAGAGATTGTGAGAGAGAAGAGAGAAGATAGGAGAAAGGAGAGAGAAAACTTACTCAGGTGGGTGTAAACGGTTCTTTAGGGTTTTGCCCTTCTGGCGAGAGAGAGAGGAGAGAGAAACCTGAGAGAGAGAGAGAGAGGAAAAAGGAAAGAGGAGAGGAGAGAAAATAGAGGAGAGAGGGGAGCGAGCGGTGGAGATGGAAGCTAGCGCGGGCGAGGGAGGCAAGGGGCTTACTGTCGCACCAGTGGGGAAGACGAAGGGGGAAGGAATCCAGCCCTTTTTCCAGTGAGGAAGACGAATGGGGGAAGTGAAAAAGGGGTTTTGTTTTGTTTTTTTTTAATTTTGTTTTGTTTTTTTTAAGTACTTTTATTTAATTAATTATTTAATTTTTTTAATGACACGTGGCACCCAGTCATTGTCCACATGGGCGCCACGTCATTAGTTAACAGCAGACTTAACAGTTTGACTAACGGATGTATGAGACTGTCCCAAAATTAACACTTTAGGTATGACACTGAGACGAAAAAAACTTGATGTACTAAATGTTGAAAACCACGAAACATGAGGGTAGTAAACAGTCTTTTACCCTAATAATAAAATATTAAACAATGAGCTGTAAAGGAAGATACTGCTCTTAGGTCATCTTCAACCAAAGGTTGGCTAGAGGGCTCGTTTTAGCCTTCTGGTCATTTAAGATATTAATATTTTAATAAACAATACATGATCATATTTGCCTTCATCTCCAACCAAGAGTCAAAGGGCCAAAGAGCCCGTTTCAACCCTGTCATAAAAAACCATATCCAACAGAGGGTCAAAGGGTTATAGTATGGAATGTGAAGAATTGAAATAAAATAAGGTAAGACAATATGAAATGATGAAAAATATGTGAGAAATGATGCAGAAAAAATTAGAAATTCAAAAAATAAATAAATAAACGTCCAAAAAAATGGCATGTTGAAAAAAAAATACAAAAATGGGCTGGGACCAAAAAGTGACAATTTCCCTTGGCCTGAAAGCCCTAAACTAGGCTGAAAGAACAAAAAAAAGAGAGCAGAAACTGGGCTGGGCAGCAAGTGGAAAAGAAAAATAAATAAAAAAATAAAACAAAATGGGCTAGCTGGCTGAAGATGGCCAACCGGTTGGCCATTTGGCCCATTCAGATTTTGTGGGGCCCACGAGCCCTCTGGCTTAGCCCTCGGTTAGAGACGATTTTCGGGTTATTTTCGGCTTGGACCCTTCGGTTAGAGATGACCTTATATTCGGAGTAGGATATTCTCCCCTCTTTTTTTCCCTCCTCTTCCCTCTCCCTATTTGAACAGTCACGGTTAATCGCGTCAACATCTTATATTAATTTTTTATAGAAAGAGAAAGACAAAATGAAAAATGTGAAACGAGGGAACGAAATACGATGGAAAGATGAGGGAAGAGAATCCTAATCCCTTATCTTCTTCGTGAGTTTTTTCAGACAGTGAGATAGTGAGTATATATTACACTATGTATTTGTACCCTGCCATGAATGATTAAAGTTTCACTTGGTCAGGAATTATTAAAGATACAGCAATTACCCTTCTAAGGTGAAATCAAGCCCAAATCTGATGAGGTTCTTATAAATAAGGTGAAATCAAGGGCCAATCTGTCCCATATCCTATGGACAAAATTACCATTCTAAGTTCTAATAATTACCATTCCAACCCAGCCCAAATCTAATGGGTTTCTTGTAAATAAGGTGAAATTGAGAAGGAAAAATTTAACTGTAGCTGAATGAACAGTAAATCATTCCTCAATTTTAGAATAGATAGCTAGAAAGTGTAGCTCGAGCGTTGCTGTGGGAAATGTGATTCACGCATTACTGTGGCATTGGAAATTGTATGACATATTTTGATGCACTAAGTTAGAAAACGACTACATGTGCAAACAATGCAAATAACTAAATTAGACACAAGCCAACTAATTTCAATTTTAACCAAATCAGAAAAACAATCACAGTCGAACTAATCTCTACTTCCCATATGAAGTAGAAGATGTCCCCTGTTTTGCATCTGTGAACCGCGCGGTTTTCACCCTCTACGGACAAAAAGATGAAAGTAAAATTGTTTAACAACATTATAAAAATTATACATACAATATTATATATGTATTTGCACATAAAGTATAAAGATTTACTAACAGATTCGA